TTTTTTTTCATTCAAATAGCCTCAATGTGGTTTTCTTGGAGAAGATGATGATCGTAATGTGAGTTATACTACATTTATTGCTGGTATTCAAATTGTTTTACTGTTTGCTGATGATTCACAAATCATTGAAGCAGCTTCTGCAGTAAGTCACTTAAGTTTTTTTTTGTATAAAATAATCCATTTTGATGAACATAGATGTCATCATTAGCTGAATCAATGGGTCAATGTGTTCAAATTGGTATCCATGATATTGGTTTATCAATGATTAATGATATTACTCGAGAAGAAATGCTTTATATAAGTTTAAATAAATCTAAAGTTATTCGAACGGAAACAAAAAGATCTCTTGTTCAACCATATGTCGCTCATGAAGCTATGGCTCGTAAAGCTATGGGTTTTTTCATTTTAAATGTAAAATTTATCTTTCTTTCAAAAATTCTTATTTTGTTCTTTTCTTGCGATATCGTAGAGATTAAAAGAATGGAAATATGCAAAATCAGATACTTATGTTGCACATATAACCTGTTCAGAAAGTCCAGCATCTTGGTTAATGGCTACATCAAAGTATAAATTGAATTTATGATTTTGTTTAAATAAATTATTTTAATTTTAGACGTTTATTATTTATAACGGAAATCTCATCTTTGGATTTATATGGAATTGATTGGCAAATTGCATATGAAGATTTAAAACAAGAACCAATTATAAAACCAAATTTAGATCAAATACAAATTCTTACAAAAGTAGTTTAATAAAAACAAAAAAAAAAAGAAGAAAAATGTTTAATTTTTTGTATTTTTAAGGAACCAAAAAAAACTGGAACACTTAACTCAACACATTCTTATGATAAAATGATCAAATATCGAAATATGTCTGAAGCTCAAGTAAAATATTTTATTTTCTTTTTTTAAAAGTCTTTCTTCTTTTTTAGTACATTGTTGATAAAATAACTAATGCCATGCATACAGTCGGTCTTTAAAAACTTTATTCTTCTGTTTAATTTCCTATGTTACATCTGCTCGATATCAAAAAGTTTCTCATTTTGATTTGTATATTTATATTTATATTTACGTAGATTTTTTTTTGTTGATTTATTTGATAAAAACATGAAATATTATATATATATGACTAAAGAACTAAAAACAATGAAATCGGGATTAATTGATTGATAAAAATGACAAAGTTTAAGGGTATTCTCGTCTTTTTTAGTAAAAAATTTTTAGAAAATGATTTCTTTTGTTTATGTGCTCTACAGACAGAGATGTCATAATATCCAAAGGCTGGGTATCTGGGAGATACTAGTCACGATATCCGTCAGAGTGGATACCCAAAATGGATACCCTATCTTGTAAAGTTGAGGATTTTGAGTGAATTTGGTGTAATGAGATGGATACCCAAAATGGATACCCTACCTTAAAAAGTTGAGGATTTTGAGTAAATTTGGTGTAACGAGATGAATACCCAAAATGGGTGGGTGGGGGTGTGAATGCGGGTGTGGGCGTGGGGTGTGGGTGTGGGTGCGGGTGTGGGGTATCCGTGTGGATGTGGGTGTAGGTAGGATGCGGCAGGAGGTCCCATTAGTGTTAGCATTAGCATTAATTAATGCCAATACTAATGCTTTGGCACTGATGACATTACCGTTAATTAATGCAAGGTATTAGCATTAAATTAGCATTAATTCTTAATGCTACTGCCTCCTAGTTGTGCCTATAAGTCTGAAATTACATGAGACGCTACTAGCATCATCCGGGAAGCCTCTAGTATACCTGGGATGGTATTAGATTCACCTGGGATGCTAATAGCCTCACCTTGGTAGCCTCTGGCATTCTCCATATACTACTAGCACCACCTGGGAAGTCTCTAGCATTTTGAGGTCCTACTAGCACCCCAGATATACCACTAACATCACCTGGGTTCCAACTAGCATCACTTGGGTGCCTATTAGTATCACCAGAGATGCGTCTGACATGCCTGGGATGCTACTAACATCACCAGGAGTGCCTCTGGCAGTCCAGAGATGCTAATAGCCTTACCTTGGTAGCATCTAGCATTTCTGACATCCTACTAGCAGTCCTGGGATGCCACCAGCACCACCTGAGAAGTCTCTAGCATTCCTGAGATACTGCTAGCAGTCCTGAGATACTATTAGCATCACCTGGCATCCTACTAGCATCACCTGGGATACCTGTAGCAGCATCAGGGATGCGTTCGGATTACTGGGATGCCACAAGCATCATCTTCGATGCTTCCAGTGTTCCTGGGATACTACTAAACTCATCCCTAATTCTAGTAGCACCATCTGGGAAGCCTTCAGCATTCGTAGAATGATACTAGCAGTCCTTGGATGCACCTAGCAGTCCTGGGATGCTACTAGCGGCCCTTGGAAGCTACTAGCAGCCACAGAATGCTTCTAGCATTCTTAGCAATTTTAGTGTCATTTAAAGCAACGCTAGAAGCATTCCAGGTGATGCTACTAGCAAACTAGGATTGCCAGTAGCATCTCATGTAATTTTAGCCTGGTAGGCACAACTAGGAGGCATTAGCATTAAAATTAATGCTGATTTCATTCTAACACCTTGCATTAATTAACACTAGTGCCATTAATACGAAAGCGTTAGTGTTAATGATAAATCCTAATGCCAAAGTATTAGGATTAGTATTACATTAATGCTAATGCTAACACTGATGCGACACCCCTGCCCACACCCACACCCCACACACATACCCACCCATTTTGGGTATGCATCTTGTTACACCAAATTCACTCAAAATCCTCACTCTTTAAGGATATGGCGATGTTTGAGAATCTCGATATCCGAGTTTCGGATATTATGACATCCCTCAACACAAATGAAACACTTGGAACATGTTCCTGAACGAATCGGCGATAGAATTACTATGCTGATGGACTATTTCTCATACTTTTGGACTAGTATTTTGAGGTTTGCGAAGACATAGTTTGAGCTACGTAAACTCTGAATACACCATTCGATAGAGCTCATCAAGTTGTACTTGGAACACAAATGGAACACTTGGAACATGTTCCTGGGCGAATCGGCGGCAGAATTACTTGAATCGGACGCTAACTTCACTTACGTTAAATTACTTCCATGAAAAAAGTTATTTATAAACCGAAATGCACAATTACATAATTTAGAAGAACGTTTGAAACAACAAACATTAACATTGAATGAATATCTTGGGAATAAAAAAATATTGATTTTCTTCTTTTCTATATTCATATTTTCTCTTAATAATTTTTTATTTATGTATCTAAATCTGCTCTATAATAAATTTTTTTGGCAAATTTATCTACAAGTAATTAGACACTATTCTCGTTTAGTATGACGAAAAAATCTCGTCAAATGATCTAATCTGAAATTGTATTCAATAATTTTAATGATAAACATTCAAAACAAATAAAACCATGAAATTGATTTATTGAATTTCATAACAATGAATTATTTAGTCGAAAATCTTTAAATAAACGATTAAAAGATAAAAAAGAGTGTCACGAAATAAAAAAAAAGTTCATTCAAAATTGATTTTAAAATGAAGCTGTTGTTTTTTTGAACTCAAATAGATGTTCAATAAGTATTATCATTTGATATAATATGTTTACTTTAAAATTTCTTTTATTTGACTGACTCACCTCAACTTTCAAATGCATGAAGCGAGCAAGAGGAAAAAGAAGCCTTATCTTCTGTTTGAAATATAAATGCAACAATTGAGAATAGATGACAATCTAAACTTGACGTCCTCAAGTAAGGTATCAGACTAGAAAATCACGAAGATATTTCTACATCTTTTAGATCAAAGAAGTTTTTTAATTTAATTTCAATTTCTTTGAGCTTTAAGAAAAAAATCTTTTTTTTTTGATGAATATTAAACTTTCTGTTCTGTACAATGAGTAAGTAATATTAATACTGTTTATAAAAATCGTTTTTTTCATCTAGTAATATCATCTAATTTACTTTAACCAATATGATTCTCTTCGTTGGTCGAAAGCAGTTTTGATCAATACTTCTGGGCAATAAAGTGTAGTGATCAAAACTAAAGTACTTGAAATCACATGTTTCGCTCATTACATCTTGGTAATTTTCAATATTTTTCATTGAGAATGTATTATGTATGAATTTTCATTGCATTAGAAACATACATTTTCATTATTGATTAGTTTTGTTTAGAAGAAAAACGTTTAATTCATATTATACACAGCGCTCTAACGCCATCTAGTATGACTTATTTTTACTTTTTTTTTTCTTTCGTCACACTTTAAATTTACGTAGTGAGCAATAAATGATTCATACTATCTTTTGTTTGACTCAGCCTTGATGAATCGAAATCACACACACAAAAAAAAAAAAAGAAAAAGGCAAAACCTTTCCTCTTCTTTTCGTTGTCTTATTGTTTTATTTCAACTGATAGTTTGAGATAAGTTAACAATACCTTGACAATTCATTAGAGTTTTTGTTTTTTATTTACACAAAATGAAGACCTACGAACAACGATATAGACACACACACATATACACGAAGAAGAAATGTCTTCTCTTTTTCAAAGTTACAAATGATGATTGTTTTGATTAAATACAGATTACTAGTAACTAATCCTTTCATTTATATATTCTTTTTCTTAACTCCTACGCAATCCGTTTTTTTTCCTCGATTTTACATTTACTTTTAGAAATGATTCAAACTCATACAGATCGTATAACTTCAAAAGACAGAAACAATTTCTCTTCTCTTGCATCCGAACCACAATCATTTACACGAATTCATACAATTAATAAATCACATACTATTCATGATTTATCATTTGATTCGGATACTCATAGTTTATCATCTTCATCATATAATAATAATGATACAGAAGATGATAATATCGATTGGGAACTTATTACAAAACAACTTGAAACTGTAAGATGAGAAATTCAAAATAATACAGAATATTTCTTTTTTCTCTTCAACAGAAATTACGAACTTCAACAGATATTATTCAATTATCATCGGATGAAAATTATTATACCAAGTCACCATCAACAAAATCAAAGAACTATAGATCTCATCCAATAACTAATTATGAACCTGCAGGTATCGTTTGCATCACAGAATGAATAACATACACCTAAAAAATAAAACATAAGTGCATAGAAAAAGGTGTCAATGATGTCACGTGGGAGTATTATTCATCATGAATCTTATATATGACTTTTAATCGGATCGATGGATTAACATAGCTTAAAAAAATATCGTAAGAAAAATTCCATTTCATATTTGAAATCTTGTTCTTAGGAATTCTTTACAATAACCTCTATTATTGTTTAACTGTTTGCAAACGATGATTTATTGTTCGAACTCAACACGATAAAAACATTTCAAACAACTGCACGTATGACATTATATATCGAATCGAAAGGTTAAATTTTACTAGCATCATATCGATAATTAAACAGAGAATCGAACTATTGAAACCTTTGATAGAATACAAGAAAAACAATGGTTTCAATTTCAGTTTTTTGCATATTGTTTTACTTGTTTAGACATTCAACAATCATTATCATTATCATCATCATTATCAATAGCATCACAAAATGATGACGATATGATTCTTTATTCAGAAGTATCTATGAAAAAACAAAGCATAAAAACAAATGAAGAAAAATCTATAACAGATGAAATCGAAACGAATCAATCAGTAAGTTATGTAGGTTTATTATTAAAATAATAAATTTCGAACCTTAGATTATTTCATTTAACTTTAACAAAAAGAATTTTGTTCTTGACTCTCTTTTCACATTGACAAAGTACTATAAAAAATCCTTCAAGTTAAATAGAAAAAGAAAAAAAATTGAAATTTTTCTTTTTTTTTTTTCTTCTTTCTTACTTGATTGCAATCATTGTATTCAACACATTTCTTATTCAAAAAAAAAATTTCTCGAAACTCTTATTTTTTAACACGATTCTATTGAAAATACATTTTCACTTAACAAAAAAAATATATATTTATAACCTATCATAAAAATTCATACAAAAATAATATTGATTTTTATTTTTATTTTTATGCTCTTTCTATTCAGACATTATCAAAGAATAGTGATCAATCATCTTTATTACATGAATTATTTAACGAATTAATTGCTTGTCAACAGAAACAAGCAGTTCTATTAAAACAAATTCAACAAATAATTAAACAATCAAAACAAATATCTTCATCATCATTAACATTTTTTTTACCTTTAAATTCATTAAATAATAATAATAATAATAATAGTGAAGATAGTCCATCTTTACAAGATGCATTTCAACAACGAAAATCTTCATTTATTCAACAATCAAAAGAGCGTGTTAATCAAATTTATCGTCATAATACTAAATATCATCATCGTATTATACCAAATATAAAAACAACAAACAATACATATTTAAAACAAAAACGACAATATGAAAATGATCGTTTATGTGCAATGATAATAAAACATCAAAATCGACAGAATGCAAAAATTTATGGAAATTTAATTAAAAATTCAATTGTATCATAAATAGAAATGAGACTTTTCTTTGTTCGTATTTTAGATAAGATATTTTGAAAATTAAATTGAATTAGATAATAATAATAATAATAATGAGTGATGATGGAAATCAAGAACGTGAGACAAAAGAAGGAAAAACTAAGACAAAAGGAAATACGGTAAACAAAACAATAAAAATATTTAATTTTAAGGAAATTTTTAGTTTTGTTTTGATTATCTAGGGTGGAACACTTTCACAAATATTTATGGTAAGTTTTATAGATTATGTATTATAACTAAGAAGACATTTTCTTTAAGAATAATTTTAATTAGATTTTATGATTTTTTTTTATTTTGATAAAATTACTCTTGCATTCATTCATATTTTTACATTAAATTTACATTAAGTACGACATATGTTCTCTTTTCAATATGCATAGCTTTTTTTGTTGTGGTCTGACAACTATAGTATAAAACAGTTATAAACGATAATATATTGAAATTCTAAACTTATATTATAGCATATAAATATCATTCTGTACTTATTGTAAACCCATAATGTTTCTTTTATAAGTCTATTGTATTTGACAAAAACAAAATATTCTAGATTAATTTAGTGGAATTGTAATATATTGCCTATATAATGCTATTGATGTGTTAATATAGACATATATTGCACTAACGATATGACATAATGTATTTGTTCATTATAAATAGATGGATAATTAAATAACAGAATTTGAAAAGAAAAACGTCCAAATGAAGAATTTATTACTTGCGTTAATGAGATCATATTCTACAAAGGCTTCATTGAGTTATCACTTATCCATGTTAGTTTAAAACGACAGCAGAAACCTTAAAAACGAGAGTATCCCTATCAATTCATTGATATAATAAGGTGTGTGTAATTAGATAGAGCGCATCCATTTATTGAGGAAGAATGTCACTTTTTCATATAATCAGTGAATATAACATGTTTTTTTGTTCTGTACGACACCAAATATTTTTTTCTGGGTTGCAACACAAAAATTGAATACAAACAGAGTAACTTTAAGATTTCTTTATGTATTTCAATTTTATGTTGAGAATCGAGATATAAATATTTACATTGTTGCAAAGAACGAGAAACCATATTATATTCACGGACGCTTGAGAAATTGACATTTTTTTTTGTTATGACATCTAAAATTCGAGATTTTTCAAAACGAAACTGAATAAACAATTTTTCTAGGTAATTGGATGCACTCTATCTGGGTTTGCAAAAAAAACATTTGAAGAAAAAAACAATTTTGCAAAAAGTTTGAATTGTGTACATACCTTATGTATAATAAAAGATGGATTTCAGAAATATTTATCATCGAATATTTGAAATGATATGATTCTTGCTATAGAAACATAAACTAAATTAAATTAAATTTTAGAAATCAATGAGAAAATCAGCTGGAAAATCACGTGCTCCACTTCCATTTGGAATGAATTCTGGTAATAATGCATCAAGTTCTAATAATAAAGGAAATCATTTAAATGCTCCTAATGAAAGTACATTTATACTTTATGGTGCATCTGATTCAACTATAGTTTCATCATCTACAACATCTAATGATCTTGATGTTAGTACACTTAATGATGATGAAGTACGAGAACGTTTTAAATCTGTTATGGTTAGTAATTATTTTCTTTTTTTTTTATTAATAAGATACTAATAAATTTTGAATATTTAAGGATGATTTATTGGAAGGAAATGAAACAAAAAAGAAAATGTTTGAACAAACAACAACAGCACATATGAGAGAAATGCTTATTTCACATTATAAACTTGCCACTGTAAGTTAAAATATTAAAAAAAAAAACTAACCAAGAAGACAATTAATATAATAATTTAATCTAGAATGAAATGAGTGGTGCTAAATCACCTGAATATCAAATTCAATGTTTAAATAATGTTACTATTGATAATATTTATTCAAAAAATAGTAAAGAAACATTTGAACGTGTTGCATTTTCATTAAAAAAATATGGTTTAAAATGGAGTAAAGTATTTGGTGAAAATTATAATGGTCCAAATGCAATGCTTAAAGCAATGCGAGCATGTATCACTAAAATACAATATACACGAGAGTATATTTTAATTGATTTTAATATTTCAAAAGAAAATAAGATAAAAATTTTTTGTTTTTTGAAATAGAAAAATTAATCGTGATGGTGATGAACGTCGTGAAAAACAAAGTACATTATATGAAATACTTGCTGCTGGTATTGAAGCATTTAAAAATTATCTTAATCTTGGTTGGAATTTTAATTCCATGAAAGAATCACTTGCAAAAGATATAGCTGAAATTACAATTGATGTATTAAATATTTTATATTCGGAAAATGATGAACGTTCAAATAAAACTAAATTTACATGTGCAATTCTTTTATTTGCATTGGCTATGCCAAATGAAAATAAGTAAATTTTATAATTCAATTTTTTATTTAGTTGAAATATATAGGATTATATACAGTAAATATTTTTGTGATCTATTATAAGTTTATTTATTGTCCTTATAGTGAAGTATGAACATAGATCAAAACAATAGATGAAAATTTATCATAAAACTATTCCATAGAGTATCATTCGTCTTCGTGCCATTAGCTTTTATGTCTAATACAAAAAGAAAAAAAACAAAAGTATTGAAAAGTTGAAAAAGAATATTATTGCATTTTCCTCCTGTTGGGACATAGATTCATTTATACCTGTCAATATTCAAAGAATCAAATATATTAGTTCTTAACATAGATGTCGATTAGAGATATACAGAATAGGGTAGGATAAAGGTAAGCAAATTTTTTTTATGAGAGAAGTCTCCCAACTAGTTAATCGCTTTGGAGTCTGGACTATGTACATCATGTAGATCCTCATGAGTTATGAATATCCTGATAATAATTCGGACCCTTAGCTAATCATTTTCAAATTTCGGAAATAAGAGCATCAAATTTACCAGTGTATAAGAACCGTCTAGAAGATAAGCTTTTATTATAGATGTATTTCAGAATAGGAATAACGAAATAATCTGAAACTTTCATCACAAACTATTCGCATTAGATTCTGTCTCTATAGAAAGTTTCAAATCGAAATTCAAAAATGAATTTTCCCAGTATTCTTGAAGGAGCCACGGCATTGACTAAAAATATATCTTAAAAATGCAATATCTCGGCAGTAATCAGCTAGCAACCAGAGCTCTTTTCAGAGTATTTATAACCTATTAGGATCTACATGATGTGTATAGACCCAACTCAATAGTGATGAATAACTTCGGGAACTTGCCTTATCAGCCTGAACACAGATATGAAAAAAGTTTACCCTACACATCTCTAATGTCGATTTCAAGTTACTTGTATTATTTAAAAACATCAAATAATTTGTTTATGACCTTTAATATTTGATTATATAAATAATGCATAAAATATTAAAGAAGAGAAAAGTTTTCAAATATTCTTCATTGAAAATAAATTCTAATAATACTTCATTTAATTTTAGTCCTTCTAATGGTCAAAATATAGTTCAACTTCTTTCAAAATCTGCTCAAAAATGGTGTCCTGGTCGTGAACGTTTTGAATGTCTAATTCATGAACTTAATGGAACAATAGAAATAGCTGTATGTAAATCAAAATCTACTAAACTTTTAGTTTTTATGTTATTTGTTTATTTTTTATCTATTTCAGAGTAGTTTTTTAATGTGTATCAATGCTATATTTGTTACATTATCAACAGAACATCGATATCATTTACGTAGTGAATTATTTCGTTCTGGTTTTAAATCACGTTTTGAAGTAGAAATAAGATTTTTCTATTGTTTCGTTTTATAATTTTCATTCAATAGGAATTACAAAAACGAGTTAATGAATGTGAAGATCCAAAACAAAAAGATAATTTATTAACACAAATTAATTTATTTCTTCATCACATTGATGATGATTATCAATCAATGAATATTAAACTTGAATCAATATCTAATACATGGGCGTAAGAATATTAAAATTTCTTCTTTCTTCTTTCTTTTTAAATAAAGAGAAAAAATAAATTTGTTTTTTTTCCTTATAGTGATCTTCAAGCTTGTTTTGATTATTTATATGGTTTAGTAAAAAATACTTCATCAGAACCTATACTTTCAAGTATTATTAATCGACTTATCTGTATTCGAGATGATCAAGCTATTCGGTTTGTTAATAGAAATTGTTTTCATATTTTGTTTTAAATATTAAATAATTTTTATTTTAAAGTTTTTCTTATCTTCGTTTAATTGATGAATGTATAACACGTATTGTTTTTTCAAAAACAGCATGTGATCCTGATTTTGATACATATTCAATGGATAGTGAATCAATTGGAGATTCTGGTCTAAGTTTAAGTGATCATCTATCATCAGTACGTAATGGTTCATTACATGATTTATCACAAATGGCTGGAAATGCTGTCAATAATTTAACAGTAACAGAAAATGAAATACAAATTAATTTAATGAAAGAACGTGTTGAACATCTTGAAAAAACAAGAGAAAAATTAACAAAAGCACTTGAAAATATTTTAAGCAAGGTATACGAAAAAGAAAAAGAATTCTTCTCATTAAAACAAAACAAAAACAAAAATCCCCGACTGACTGAAATTTGTTTTTTTGAATAGGTCGATACAGAAACAGCAATTAATTTTAAAAAACAATACGCTGATATTTTTGGAGAATCAATATCGATTATTGGATCTGCTAGTAACATTCCACCACCACCTCCTCTTCCATCATCAACAGGCAACATGCCGCCACCACCGCCACCGATGCCACCATCATTAGGAAATATTCCACCACCACCTCCATTACCTGGTGATTTAATGCCACCACCTCCACCACCAGGTAATATATTCAAAAAAAAAATACAAAGAAAAAAGATTTATTGTTAGTAAAAGAATAATTCTCTACAAATATATCTACAGGAAATATTCCTCCACCACCTCCTCCTATGCCAGGTCAGATTAAATCGTGTGGCTTATTTGCTTCTTTTGCTTTTGCTTATGTTTTTGTTTTATTCTTCTGCTTTCTCGCCTTTTGAAAAGAAAAATCGAAATAAACCATTTTTCCAGGTCTTATACCACCAGCACCTCCAATGATGACAGAAGGTGGTGTACCACCGCCACCTCCTCCACCATTTCCAGGTATGGTAGGTAGCGGAGGACCGCCACCACCACCTCCTCCACCATTTCCTGGAATGACCGGTAGTGGAGGTCCACCACCCCCACCGATGATGAACATGAATGCTCCTTCATTTGGTATATACAAAACGTGTTTTGAAATTATCTATCGATAGTTTTCTTTTTATAAACTATTTTGAGGTCCACCACCAGTGCCTGAATATTTACCAAAAAAAACAAAAATATGTTGTTGGTGAAGCTGTAAAAAAAGTAGCTTGGAATAAAATCAATCCACAATCAATAAAAAAAGAATCAATTTGGGCAAATATTGATGAAAAAAATTTTCAAAATAAAGCATTTTTTACAACAATTAAAGAAAATTTTGCTACAAAATCAGCTCCTAGTATGTATCCATGAAATGAATTAATCAATTATTCAAAAAAAAAATTATATTTCTTATTTAACAGTTAAAAATCTTGCTGATAGTGATAATGAATCATCATCAACAACAACAGCGAAAAAAACAAAGGAATTTCGTGTACTTGATCCACGTGCTGGTCAAAATTTTGGTTTGATAATTTTTATTTGTTTTTATCATGCAATTGTTATTCGTTTTTTTTTCTAGCTATTATGTTTAGTCAATTAAAATCAACTCCACAACAATTTCGTCAATGGCTTCTTGCTTGTGATAGTGAACATTTAACGAGTGATTTACTTGCTCAATTAGATAAATCATTTCCTAGTCCAGAAGAATTAAAAAAACTTTCAGAATTAAAAAATGAAATATATGATTTACCTGATGCTGAACAATATTTTTGTGCTGTAAGTTCAAATTTTATAGTTTAAAAAGAAAAATATATATTTATTATAAATAGGTTAGCGATATAAAACGTTTACAACAACGTATTAAAATACTTCTATTTAAAAGTCAATACAAAGAATTACTTGAAGAAACAGAAAAAGTAAGTATTCTGGAATAATACTAATGATAACGATGAAATTTCAAGTGGCGAGACATATTAGAGTGCTAAATTGAACAAAATTTGTCACTAGAAAAATGAAAATATCGAATGGATAAATGTTGAAGAGAAACAATACGGAGAGTATGAGTTTTCTCTTAATCCAAATCAATACTCACAAATAAAAAGTGTAGTTTAATGATGAAAATTTTCTAAAGAACTTTTCGAATTTTTATTTTCGATCAAACTATGATCAGCCGAGTGATTGCCTTAAACTATGTGATATTATTATTATTATTCATTTAGATTTTTTGAAATACTTTAGATGATATGATTTCTGAAAGAAAGCGAAAATTTAAAAAAAAACACTAATAATTTATGTAATTCTGTTCAAAATATCAATTCTCATTTGTTTACTTGCTTTTTGTATTGTACTATAAATTAAATAACAAACATTCTACTATATTTTTGTCGCATAATTTTATATTCTAAAATAGGCATATACTTTGAATTGTTACCACTGAGATAACTAACGAGGGAAGATCTCTAACTGATCTACGCTATTTTCAATGATATTTTGTTTATATATTGGGAACATGATTCTAAGAACATTTGGACTGATGGGGCTTCCTTAGAGGGTTATGATTATTTTACTGATTTTTTTTTCACCTAGCACAAGGTATATAAAGAAAAAGTGAACAACAGAATTTTATTCTGAAATCTTGCTCATATGTAGTTCTTGTTGTGATAGGAACGTTCAAAAAAAGAAAATGTTTCCTTTTTGAGGCATCCATTCTGAAAAAAAGAAATGTCTCATAATCTATAAAGTCCTAACAAATTGACGTTTTTTAAAAATCGAACATTTCGACAAAGAAACATATTTTTCCATTGAAACTTTTAGAGTGTTCCAATGATTACAAGAACTACATATGAGCAAAATTTCAGATTGAAATTCTGTTGTTCAATTTTTCTGTAGATACCTTGTGCTAGATGGAAAAAATTCAGTAAAATGGTTATAACCTTCAAAGTAAGCTTCATCAGTCCAAACTCTCTCAGGATTTTTCTTAGAATACTTTTTTCCGATATATGAACAACAAATATATTCTTCAATGTCTTTGATAGAATTTTGTTGCTGCACGACAAGCTTCTGAAACAGTTCGTCGTTCTAAACGTTTTCCAAAATTAATTGAACTTGTATTAACAATTGGTAATTATATGAATTCAAGTGGTAAAACATATGAACCAATATATGGTTTTGATATTAATTTTCTTCCAAAAGTAAAAATCATCTTGTGTTTTTTTTCTTCTTATTGTTTAATGATGTGTTTTTTTTCTTCTTATTGTTTAATGATAAATTTTTTTTCATTTAAATAGTTACATTCAACAAAAGCTAATGATGGTAAACGAACATTATTACATTTTATTATACAAGAAATTGAAAAAGATCATGCAGATTTATTAAAATTTGGTGATGAATTTCAAGGTGTTGCTGAAGTAGCATCAAAAAGTAAGAAAATTATTAATCCATTTGTTTTTGTTTTTAAGAAGAAAAAAATTTTTTATTTTTATTTTTATTTTTTTCTTTTCATAGTTGATACTAATGAATTACAAAGAATATTAAATGAAATAAAATCACGTGTTAGTAGTGCACAAACAGATTTAGATAATGCTAAAAATGCAACAACAGATTCAATATCAGGAGATCGTTTTGCTCAAACAATGGAAGTAATAAAACTTAAGAAAAAAGAGAATTATCTTTAATATATATATATATATATTTTTTTTTTTGTTGATTTAGGGTTTTGTTAAAATAGCACGAGATGATATTGAAAGACTTGAAGTATTAAATACTAAAATGACAAGTGCATATCAAGATTTATGTGATTATTTAACAATTGATCCTAAAAAATGTCCATTAAATGAGTTTTTTACTGATTTAAAAACATTTTGTACAGTATTTTTAACATGTCTACAAGAAACTCGTCTATGGCGTGAACAAGATGAAAAAGCTAAACGTGCACAAATGTCAAAACAACTTGTTGATGATATACGAAAGAAACATCGTGCAGAACCAAAAGCTGAACAAAAACCATTCTTTAAACCAAGTAAAATAATTTTGCATAATTTTATCTATCAAATAATTTTTTTTCTCAATTAATCATTTATAGGTGATGAAGATACTGATGTTGTATCAAATCTTATGTCTGTTCTCAAAGACGCTAATATGACTTCACAACCAAGACGAGTTCGTCGGCCACCAGGTAAACTTATTATCTCTTAAAAAAAACCTGAACATTTTCTTTCTACTTTCCCCCGTTTTATCTACGTATAATTTTATTTTCTGTTTTTCTGTAATATATAACCGTTCAGAAGTTGAAATATTTGGTGGAGTGTTGAATGAATTAAATACTAATCGAGTACATCAACCATCATCTTCGGTTCGTGTTGATGTTCGATCTAATCATAATCGTCCACCACCACCACCACCGCCACATTCATCTCATGATGGCACTCGACAAACACAGCATCAAATACCTCCGCCTATACCAGCACGAAATCTTCGGTCTACTACTACTACGGTAGAATATTTGCTAAAGTTTCGAAAGTGCCTTTCTGGTTTTTGTTACGCTTTTGTGACATTTTTGTTGGTTTTCTTTTTTTCATTGCCCGCTTACTTATGCTTTGTGTTTAATGTGTAACATATGCCTAAGGAAAAAGATGCCTATGCTTCTGTTTGTTGTTAAGAATGTATTTGAATATTGATTATTTCTATTGCTGATGCTGATTTATATTTTTGTATTTATTTCTTCAGCATCGATAAGTCGCGACGTACCAGTCGTGTGCTGACGTCGTTGGTAAGTGACATAGGGTGCGCATGCGCGCTCTCTGTGTCTGACATTTGTAAACACTAACTGCTTTATAAGCTTAGATCTTTATTAGTTTTAGAAAAAAAATCAAGAAAAAAACTTCATTTAATTTATATTTCTAGGTCGACTGAAAACGAACGATCTTCGAACAAAAATAAGCGATCGTGAAAATGCTAGATATTCATCTGATGACAATATAACAACATCTCGTTCACTAGCTTCATCTATACTTAAAGATCGAAATTATATATAAACACTTCGATCTATTCTTTCTTATATATTAAGCATTATAAAAAAATATATAATTATTCTAGAAATCTATTACCACCTAAATACTACTTGATTCTTCTTTTCTTTTTGTTTGTTCGTTTGCTTATTGACTTTTATATTCCAACTTCAATTTATTTTTTGTTTGTTTGTTTGTTATTCTCTTCCACTTTCAAATATGTAGATAGTTGAATGAATTGTTTATTTAATATTTTTTTTCTGTTCTTCTAAACAAATGATGTGATGAATATATATGTCCTAGACAAAATTGAACTTTAAGCAAAATTAAACTTA